CCCGCAATTATTATGAATCAGCCTAATAAATACTAGAGGGATAGCAGATACATATATCCTCCAACAGCCCACCAAACTAAAGTCATCTGAGCTATTGAAAATCACGGCTTACCGTAAACTACTGATATCCTGCTTGATCTCCAACAGGTCATCCTCATTCACTCCATCCATTTTCATGTCTTTCTTTGTTTGGTGAATGAATCTAACGAATTGTAATATTGACCTTTTTCCAAATGCGATTCCATGGTAAAACTTCATAGGTATCAATTAAAAAATAAGGGAATAAAAAAGACCCTACCTTGCGACTAATCGTTGTATGATGTCCGCATATGTTAGTGGTTTTTTACCCGCTGTATGATGTCCGCATATGTTAATGGTTTTTTACCCGTACTGTCGTCAGGATTTTTTTCCGACAGCGCTCGCTTTCTAGAGTACCCGGGCCGCTAAACAGATGGTTCTATCATTTTGAAAGCAATTCTTAAATTCCCACAGAAATAAACAGATGGTTCTATCATTTTGAAAGCAATTCTTAAATTCCCACAGAAATTAATCATTGGGAAAATGAAAGATCTCACCCGAATCGTTGCACGATTGCGGCTTTTTGAATAGGTATACTTGCCAAGAAGCCAGCGGAATGTGTTCAGAGCCGAAAAGAAAAAGTAGTAAATGGCCTGAATAAACGTCAGAATCAATGTAGAAATGTAATATTGGTTTCTTGATTTTCGTTTTTGACTGACTGACTTTATTTTTCCTTACAGATATACTTTTTTGATTTTTTGTAAAGGTTTTCTACATACATAAAGTATTGATGCTACATATAAGTATTTAATACTTTATGGCAGGTATTTCGACGGTGGAAGTTAGTTTTCCTCGAAGATGTCATTCTAAAAATCCTGCAAGCGTTCGGGAACTTTTGGAGTAGGATGGATGGTTCTAGCGGACCACACACTTAGCTGATCCATGACCTATGGTTGGTTAAAGGCACAGTTCACGATAAGAAATAGTTTTTGAGATTCCCCTACAGGATGAATTTGAGGATCACATATGGCACTATTAGGTCGGAAAACGGCCTAGTTAGAAAGTTATCAAGGCTCAAAGATTGTCCCGTGGGTATCCTCGGACGAGTTTCACCGGCATTGTAGAGGCTAACCGATCACAGGGGCACCCATGTAAGGAATTTCAACAGCTTGTCATGACTCATAGCGACAATGAAAGACAGTTCTGTTCAGTTCTTGCTTCATGTAGTCAGCTCTTTGTGCAATTGCAATAACTGAAATCTCGTCCGAACACCCCTTCCATGTTATTTCTGTCATGGCAATCTCGTCCATACTCTATTTTTCCTACTTTTGAGAAGATCGGCGTTTTTCTCGAAATCGGTGAATTCTCTCGCTTTCTTCACTACCAATGAACTATTCCCAATCTATACTTCCGCTCTTCGAATAAAAACGGGTACCTCAAAATTATCGTGAACTGTGGCTTTAACTGGTTGTACATGATAGCCTGATACTTTAATTGGCTGACTTCATGAAACCATATTCAGTGGCTTTCCAATCAGGGTTATAGGCGTGAGGGCTTTTAGCAAACGAGGTGGATTCCACAGGCGCCATGACCTTTTAATTTCTCCCCTCTTTGAAATTTTAAAAGCGTAAAAGTCCTTGTCGTTAACATTTTAATTATTATAGCCACAGAAAGCACCTTTGGTGTGATTATGATATTGAATGGAGGGGACAGACTCGATCCTTCATCAAAATGTGCCATCCACAGCTTTGTTCGATGGAATTTCCATTCCAAATCAGCATGATCCTAAACATCACGCATTTCTCTTGTGAAATAACATTCGGTGACCGAAAAAAATAATGAAAATAATGAGGAGAAAAGGGGTCTATCACTTTCAGTCGACCATTCAGGGCACGAAATGGACATAGGCAGCACCACCCACGACTCGTTCTTCTCAAACTGGACGAGTTGATGAAAACCCAATCTCGAAATTGAAACAACATTGTCTCTATAACCGAAAAAAATAATGAAAATAATGAGGAGAAAAGGGGTCTATCACTTTCAGTCGACCATTCAGGGCACGAAATGGACATAGGCAGCACCACCCACGACTCGTTCTTCTCAAACTGGACGAGTTGATGAAAACCCAATCTCGAAATTGTGGTCTGGTATGAAGCTCAGTTTTTTGGCAACCTTCGCAATCGATGTTCCGTATAGGGGTCGCGTATCACTTCTGGGTAATGTTAAGGGACACAAACAAAAAATGAAATAAAAAATCCAAAATGTGACTGACGTTGATGATCTGAAACGAATGGCTCATCATGGCGATGAGCATGTTCAACAGTACGATAATCGACGTGCAGTGATACATGATGAACATTGCCCGACCGACTGATTGCGTCAGATGGTGGTTCTGAAGAAGAAAGGGTTACGGTATAGTGGAACAGAGCGAACTTCAACGAGCAATTCACCTCAGCCACATCTGTATCCTCCACTTTTGTGATTGAAAATAACGACCACAATAGTGTGAGGTATGAATCGGCGATGCTAAATTTATTTCCAATAAATATTTTAACTCTTTTACTCGATTTACTTTGACTCAATCTAATTTGATACGTTTTTCAAATCTTCTGCTCTTTTGATGGGACCTGGGGAAACGGAGACAGCTGATAGGCAAGATATGTCATGTCCATGGCTCAACCTTTCATATTTTTCCCAAGGCTGCCGACTGGTACTACCCCTTCGGAACGAAAGTATTCAGTCGAATGAAAATTCGGTCGGTAGTCACATATCTCAAACCAATTCAAGCCAACACCTAAACAGAGCCTCTGGTATCCTGCACAGGAACAGAGAGCGTGGCGTATCCCACAAACCCAAGCGAGGGTTGAATCCTCAACTCTTACGTTCAAGAAAAAGGCTAATTTTGATGAGTACAGAATAAGTGACGCAGAAATGGAACCCACGATGAAAACACATTCGACTCAAGCGTACAGGAGTCGGGAGTCATACAAACCGGCGTGTCCGGGTCGTAATACCTGAAATCACTTACTTTGGGGATCCATTGCTCCAAGAGTGCTAAAAAAAGAAATATTTTAACAAATGTACCAGTATAGTTGAGCCAAACCGATGCTGAAGCTGCTGATGATTAGAACAAAAATAAAGCAGAACTTGGCCACATCCACTAGCATACAGCCAAGCGAGATCTAAAAAATGAAGGATTCCTCACTTTCGATTCTTTTTTCTCGTTTTTCTCTCAACAGTTTAAAAAATAAAATACTGTGGGATGATTGTAAACGGCTGTAAACAGCTATAGACTGTAAGTGTAAGTGGCTATTGATGATATTTTAATTCAAGACAACCATGTCTATTCTATCCGCTTGGCCAAAATAGCAGGCATCTCACCGGTTACCAAAAGGGTTAATAGACGAAGTTTTGTATTGGCTGACCATAACAGGTCACCATATAAGGAGTTGAAGGCGTTCTAATGTTAGCCACTTTTGCGGAAAAAAAATTGCTAGGTTCCCAGTAAAGGCAGCCATACGTAAAGGGAACGAAGGCGGCTAAATTCTGTCGTAGTTGGATAAACCCAGGTTCTTGTCTGTGTCGGAGGCTAGAAGTTCTTGCTTACATAGTTCAGAGAATGGCTGGCATTTTTCCAGTGCCAGTGCTCTAATGGGGAGACTTTGCCCTTCAACGTGGAAGATGCACAAACGTGTGTCATCACTATCGTCTTTTAGCGTAAAGTGGCAGCTTCCTACACGCAGCGGTGGATACTAACTGGGCTGCATGGGTGCACAAGTATAGACAATGGTGAGGTGAGAAAAGTGGTGGATGAGCCTTCTATTCATTGAAAAGTTGAGGTTGCGCTTGGCCAATAACGAACTACTGCACTTGAAAACCAAAAGTAATGGTCATCTCCGCAGAACGTCACCGGCAGTTTTGGTGGTTTGATGAGACACCCACCCCTCCAATGAGGGACTTCTTCTTGGTGCTTGCCATCGATTATATACCATCGTAATCAATCAGGACCAACAAATGTCCTTATTTCAGCTTTCTGATTATTTCTTACAAATTGATAAATGACAAGTAATTAGAAAAATTAGAAAAAAGTAATTAGAAAATCAGTTTCAGGTAATTAGAAAAGGGGATGTGGAAAGTAGTGGAAAGGGTAGATTAAAAGTACGTTATGTATACTATCTAGAAATTGTTTATTATAGTAATTACTTTAGAACGGTTTCACCCCTTACCTGTAGTGGTCCAAGGTACGGATTGGTCTGGAACAGATAAATGATGCGAGCGAAACTGAAATTGGTTGGTGTAAAGTGGTACAATCGGACTGGAACTCAAGAGTTCAGTCATCAAGATCCTAAAAGTACCTGAAAACGTTTCCCACGGCAAAAAGCGCTTCAGCCACCAACATCGGTTCATAAGCTTCCCAGTAAGTGCGAATCGAGTAACGTTGTGGATAATCCAGATAGCTGTAGATCCAATAGGCACTCAACCTGTGAAAAGATAGCTACTACCTCTCCAACTATAATATAATAAGAAGATAAATCGTAGCTGCTAGTTTATTGGTAAAATGGAGTTGAATCTATGCTAAAACTATCGAAGGAATCACTTTTGTTTATCATCGGGAGGCTTCAATCTATGGAATTCCGTCAAAATTTCAAGTTTAGCTATTTCTATTTTTCATTATTTATTTATATTTTTTAAATTTAGTTCAACTTTTCAGAAATGCTTCCGACTTTTGATTTACAAAGACGTTCGAGAAGCCAGTGCATACCTCACAGAAATCGTACACAAGTATAGGCAGATCATAATGAAATCCAACCAATTCCACCATTGATGTACGTATTTGGTGAAACCTTCTTCCCATAGTTGTTTGATTTCTGACCATAACATACCTGAAAACGACGTTTGGTTCTTTTTTCTACTTGCCGAAACATTGCGACATTACCGAGTCAAAGGAAGTAATAGTAGAATCATGCCAAAAGTAATAATTGCATAGCGATTGAGCTGTATGAAGAACACTAGGCCTGTTATAACGAGGCAGATGGCCCGCGATAGCCGCGTGCGGCGGATTGATTTTACAGAACCGTTCCTACTGCCCGTCTCCCACGATTATGCTTACCAGCTGACTTATGCAATAGGATATAAGAAGATGGAAAAGAAAGGCTGCTAGTCTATGGTAGCATACGGTAGATACGGTATGCTACGTTACGCTAAGTCTCCTTCAAAATCTTATACAGAATAGGCCCTCAACCTTCCGTTAGTTTTTTTAAATCTCTATCAGCCACTTTTAGTGGAAAGATTTGGCAGCTAACTCTTCTGGGTGCGTGCATGTAGGCGTTATTCTTGGAGTCGAGCATTCAGAAAGAGGAAAAAGAAGACTAGTAAATTTACGGTATTGCCAGGGATCATTCCGTTCTCGGGCACTAGACCTCACTTCAGTACTGCCTGAATCGGATCGACCAAAGAAGGGTTTCTACGTTAGGGTTTTCCCTAAAGTTCCAGAATTTTTGGTCGTTGTTGGCAGTGTAAGTAAGTCTCGCAGTGAAGTCTCGCTTATTAAGACTTCCAAGCCTGTAGGTTAAACACAGCTCTCTCAAGTGCGTTCATTTTACTGTGGCTGAGAAGTACATACTGAACACCAATTTATGTTTCATGGTACATAAAAAACCCGACCTTTTTTTAATTTTTCTTCTACAAAACGAGTCTCCTAAGCTGGCCGAAATACCTAATGCCCTTAGGCGTGAAGCATCTTTGAACTTTGCTATCAGACTAAGAAGGTAGCAGTAGCATTTTCTTGAACATAAAAGCTGGTATTTCTAGAAAGTCTTACCTAGAACCCATGCCACCACTAATGATTCAATGAACGTAGGAGGTGGGCCACGATCTGAAGCTCTCGTTGTCCCACCACCCTAAAAATAACAAATGTTCATTGAAGTAAGAATATAGTGGAAATGAGGTTTCAAATTCAAGCATTTACTCAAAACTGCCCGTCAGATCAGAGCATCAAAACAGCACTATAATGCAAACAATTCTGACCTTTCGTTCGCCTTTTTCACTTCGATAGCTTTCAAACGTAGCCAGAGTGAGAAGAAGCAGAAAACAACCAAATGATATCGAGTAGTAAAGAAATTTCATGAATGGCGATCTGACGATTCGTCCAATGCGACTTTTCGGCATCTGAAATGTTCTATGAGTTCCAATATTGCCGATGATTAATCAAAAAAAGTAAAAATAAAGCAAGGCACGGTCGAAATTCCGTGAAAAATTTGTTACAATGAAAAACTCCGATTCTTTTCCACTTCAAACTAGTTCCTATCAGGTCTCCAGCGTAAGAAAGCATTTAGACCGTAGCTTTTGCCATAGTCATTTGAGGTGGCCCTGCCCAATGAAGGCCATTTAAAAGCAACTTCCGTTATCATAAGCAGTCGTATGATGCATATATTTTCATCGATAGAACGGTTTTATAAGTTACCAGCACTGCGAAAAAGTTGTATGAGCTCACCAGAATATAGCAGATAGCCAAAACAGGCCATAGAATGATTAGAGCTATACAGACGATAATATTCCATGATGAACCACGTTGTTGTCGTCCCGGAAAACCTTCATACCAGATTGAAGTGAGCAATTGTTGGCAATGTGGATGGGAGACAAACTGAAAGCGCGATTATCTATAGGAACAAGTAGTATATGGCTCAGAATACTGGCAAGAAATTTCTTAACTAGTCAGTTTACTCGTCAATTCTCGATTTCTAGGATTTTCGAAACCTTTCCAGAGTAATTGTTAAGAGAAACATGTGAAGGATGTCTCTCTTAGACAAAGAAAATGACAAGAATAATGCATGGCGCACTCAGACGTTAACAAGTAGCCAGAAAAACCAGACTTTTCTAGATATTACGGTCGGATTTCTCCATACCAAGGACTTGTTAGGATTCTCAGCTACCGTAAGAATCCTTCAAATCACAACGATGACTTACAGCTTTCTGTTCGTATTTGATGGCCAGCTTCAGTCGGGATAAGCTCAGCTTTGACGCCCACACATCCACATTCTCGTCGTGGGTGTTGCAGTCCTTATTCAGAACTGCTATGACCTTCAAATAGTAATCACTACAAATCTAAGGATTCTTCTTGCAACAATTAAAATATGAAAGCAGTTGGACGACGAAATTCATGTACAGCACCCCCTTTCTTTGGTTATTTATTCTTAGTACGAGACGGATCCTTCAAAACAAACCGAATCAAATTTAGTTTACCTCCTCACTACTTCGGCATTGACTGATAAGATCACATGCGAACTGCTTGCACTGTTCAGCAAGCTGAAATAATGAAATCGTTTTCCAATTATTTTTTTTCTGTTCACATTAAAAACTGTCTGCATTCATTTTGGTATTGGTCTAACCCATTCGGTGACTATGGGCTCATCGACCTGCACTTTTCATAAGCATCCATGTTCGACTCTCGATGAATCCTGGCATAGCTTTGCATTAATGGTATAAGACTTTTTAAAAACCTGCTGCCAAGATGTGAAATAAGTTCTTATCAACTTACGTTTCGGCGTAATCGCCTTCTTCAGAGCCTGGAAATAATAATACACAGGTTTCCAGGCTTTGAAGAAGGCGATTACGCCGAAACGTAAGTTGATAAGAACTTATTTAACATCTTGGCAGCAGGTTTTTAAAAAGTCTTATAACATTGATCTGCTCTTTATTTAGCTAGAGTCACAATCTCGAACATACATACGAAGGTAATATGACGTGAAAAACAAGCTCAATTCAATAAACAATAAATTTATGCGAATTTCAAACCTGGAGATAAGTCTCCTTGAACTCATGTTCCACTGCTGACAGATGTTGTAGCTCCCAGCTGAGTTTGAAAGCAGATAAAATAGGATCGGGACTGAAAGAAGCTATTTTGAGCTCCGGGATGAGAACGAAATGAACTGGTTTTGTGAAAAATGGATTACATAAATTGATAAAATTTGGACATTTTTTAAATATTTTTTAGCTTAGCTTTCAATCGGTTTTTTATTTTTTAAAATAGTGAATATTCGCTGCAGTAGTATTCATAATC